AACTACCAGACCATTTCTTCTGTAGCTCAGAACACCCCTCCATCCCATTTGCTTGCAATATCCCTACAATCTTTGTGCTCTCACTACAATTCTTTGGGTTTGGGTTCCATATTTTCCTTATTACCTTCCATATCTCACTGGATGGCAGAGAAATAAAAACCATTACCAAAAAAAAAAAAAAAAAAAGAGAGGTGAAAGTAGATGTTGGAGGGGGGGGAAACACAAAAACAACCTCCCTGAGAAACACTGAAGAAAGATGGAAATATTGAATGCAATTTTAACAAAGTGAAGAGGAAAAGGACTGCAAAATGTAGTGGTTATGGGAGACGTGATGTGTGACCTTGGAGGTTAAGGAACTACCTCCCATAGGTCTAGTCTCAGTTTTCTTCTTTAAAGTGTATGGTTCGCCGGACTCAGTGGCTCAGCCTGTAATCCCACGCCTTGGGAGGCTGAGGTGAGTGGATTGCCTGAGCCCGCAGGTTCAAGACCCATCTGGGCAACTTGGCGAGACCTCATCTCTACAAGAAGTCAAAAAATTAGCCGGGTGTGGTAGCGCGTGCCTGTAGTTCCAGCTACTTGGAAGGCTGAGGTGGAAGGATTGCCAGAGCCCAGCAGGTGGCGGCTGTGGTGGCCGGGAGCGGCCATTGCACTCCAGTCTGGGCGACAGAGTGTGAGACTCCAGCTCAAAAAATAATAATAAATAAATAAATAAATAAAGTGTATGGTTCTGGCCAGGCGCAGTGGCCCACACCTATAATCCCAGCCCTTTGGGAAGTCAAGGTGAGAAGACTGTCCCTGCCCACGGGTTCGAGACCAGCCAGAGTAACTTGGTGAGACCTCATCTCTACAACAAATCAAACAATTAGCCAGGCATGGTGGTATATGCCTGTAGTTGCAGCTACTTGGAAGGCTGAGGCGGAAGGATCACCTGAGCCCAGCAGGTCGAGGCTGTGGTGGCCGTGAGCAAACCACTGCGCTCCAGCCTGGGCAACAGAGTAAGACTGCAACTCTAAAAAAAAAAAAAAAAAAAGGGTATGGTCCTTGGCCGGATATGGTGGCTCACGCTTGCCTTCTCAGTTCTTTGAGAGGCTGAGGCCAGAGGATTGCGAGCTCAGGAGTTTGAGATCAGCCTGGGCAACATGGCGAGACTTCATCTCTACAATAAATGAAAAAATTAGCCAGGTGTGGTAGTGCGTGCCCGTAGTCCCAGCTATGTGGAAGGCCGAGAGGAAGGACTGCATGAGCCCCGCAGGTTGAGGCTTCAGTGGCCAAGATCATGCCACTGCACTCCAGCGTGGGTGACAGAGTGAGATTCCAACTCAAGAAAAAAAGAAAAAAGATTACGGTCCTTAAAGACAGCATGAGGCTTCAGTGAGATAATACAAGGGAAGGGCACAGCACTCGGAACGTGAGTTTTTACTTTATTAGCCAGTTTGTATCTGCACATCGTACACTAACATTATTGGCCAACTAACATTTTCAGGGTATTTACTATTTCCGAGGTACAGTGTGAGCTCTGGGTTTCCTAGAATTAAGTCAAGACTTGGATTCATTATATTAATATGCCAGTTTTAAATTTGGGAATGTTTGGAATTAAATGAGGAGATGCCTGCCATGAGCTAGGTTTAGTACAGTGCCTGGCATATGCAAAGCACTGAAAGTAGATTCTATTACATCGAGGACAAGCCCTGAATGTTTTCTCCTCCTCTTTAAGCCACTCCTTTGCTGCCAGTTCTTAGCTTCCCTGGTCAGTCCCTAGCCTATACCAGGTACCCGTCTCTTCTAGAATTATGGAAGAACCCAGTAGTTCAAGAGATTGAAGGTCAAGACAATTAAAATAGAGGAAATAAGAGCAGAGCAGCAGCAGCTGGAAGGAAGCCTAAGGGGTTTGTGAGTTCTGGTAGTGTTATTTCTTGATCTGGATACCGGTTATACGGATGTGTTCACTTTAAGAAACTTCAATTTAATTGTAAATTTCAATGTTTACAATTAAAATTTATGCACTTTCTGTATAAATGTTCATAAAAATAAAAAATATTTAAAATAGGAACCACCCCTCCCCATTATCTAAAGCATAAAGCAGCCCTTCCATGGGTTTGCCACAGCTAGGTCACAAGCATGCCAGCCTTGCCAGCTGATCCCAGAAAGTAGGACAAATGCCATCATGGTTTGGTTAAGACTGGCAGGTACTGATCTGAAGAACCAGGAACAACATTCTCCTTAACAAATGTCCAGAACAGCCCTTCCTCTACCCCAACTTCCTTTTCCCATTATCAATGAATAAAAAACCTAAAATAAAATTCAATTGTTTATCAAGTCAACGGACACAGCACAGGCCAGTTTTCTCTTTGAAAGTTTATTGTTATTTAAAAAACAACAACAACAAAAAACAAAACTCTGTATTTTTTACATTCACCTCTCAGAACACTTCATGGTACCTGCTAATGATGTTCTATAAAAAGCCCACCAGTTGCTTGAAATGACTGCAAATTTACATGTTCTGGTATTAAAGTGGTTTCAACTCTTTGGAAAAATTGGTGTAATATTAAATATCAAGATTTCAAATTCTCAGATAAGAAAAAAAACTTAAATCAGAAGGAAATTATTTAGTAGAAATTCAAGGCTAAAAGGAAGTATTAAAAGAAAACCAAAATCAAAAATATTGTAAAAAATACGATTTTCCCCTCCTGAATTAGGTAAAAAATGCAATCAATCCCACCCTACCTCCAATATTTCTCTTAGAAAAGCCACCAAAAGTCCTGAACACAGAGTCTTGCACACAAATATGTGTAGCTTGATTTGCAGATCAGTCTCTGAGATCTTATACTGGCCCCAAGTAGAAGTTTAAAAAGAAAACTGTTAGGTAATTAGACATCTATAAATACTTGTATCCAAATAAATGCAAACATTCTGGCTTTGGTATGGCTACAGAAACCTATTTGGAAATTGTTCAAGAGGAGGCTGGCTTGGGGAGAAGGGAGTGGGATGGGAGAGGGGAGCACACAGAAACTCTAAAGCAGAGCTAAAATAAATACTGGGACACAGCCACAGCAAGCACTGAACATGCGCTCGAGGCAGATGCCTCTACCAAAACACACGCACAGGTTCTTGGTCGGAATGGTCTGGGCCAAAGTATCATGTGTAAGAAATAGTTTGAATATGGATATTCATCTGGTGCCCTGGGGTCTAGTGAGAGACAAAGACCTTTTGGAACAAGAATGGCTACCTAGGTTAAAAGCCAAACTCCTCTTATTCTAAGAACTCAAAATCCATTTTCCCCTTTTAGTTAAGCTCCTGTCCATCCCAGAAGTACTAACAAAGAAGTCTTGTTCTGCCCCTGGTCACCACCGAGGCCTGTCACAATGGTTCAACTGCGGATTTTTCACCTCTGGGGTGACTAATTAAAAAATTAAGTCTTCTGGGAATAGGAATGGAATTCATTCTGCTGTGTTTCGAGTCTATTTCACAACTTCCCTCATTTTTCCAGGACATGATAAAGGGTTATGTGGACACTGAAAAGGAGGAGGTAGTGGTGGGGTCAAGACCATGTCTAAGTTCAGTCTCAGATACTCTCAAAAGTCCCAGAGGAGAGAAGGCAGAAGTGCCCATACCCTGGTCTTCAACTTGTCACCCAGACAAGGTAAGAAAAAAAGGCAACTTGTTGCTGCTTTGATGGGGAACCCCAGTGGTTATGAATATAAACCTCTACAATAAAAACAAACTTTGGTATACTGTTTAGGAGGACAAGGAAGATGATCATTAAAAAATAAGGCAAAACAAACAAAACACCTTTAGGCAGGATACAGCTGCTCACACCTGTAATCCTAGCACTTTGGGAGGCCAAGGAGAGGACTGCCTGAACCTAGGGACAACCTGGCAAAATCTTGTCTCTACAATAAATCAAAAAGTTAGCCAGGCATGGTGGCGCGTGCCTGTACTTCCAGCTACTTGGAAGGCTGAGGCAGAAGGATTGCCTGAGCCCAGCAGGTCAAGGCTGCAGTGGCCATGAGCATGCCACTGCACTCCAGCCTGGGCGGCAGAGTGAGATTTCGATGCAAAAAAAAAAAATTTCAGCAACAACAAAAAAAGCACCTTTGATGGCAAAACATACTAAAGATCTAAATAAACTTCCACCACAGGGCACCAGATGATATCCTACAGCTGCCTGATAACGCGAAGTTCCACACACAACAGTGACAATTTGAGCAAGAGGACTCCTCCTTCACAGCAAAGACCAACAAGGACAAACAAATGGTGAGCCTGTTTACCACGGGATAGGTTCACTGTGGTAAAAGACATAATAATGGAACTGTTAGCTAGAGGGCAGAGGAAACACAGAATGCCCAGGCAATTTCTGATAACAGCATCATTTATCCTTTTTCTAATCAGACTCAAATACCAGAAAAAAAATGAGAGAAAAAATGAATTACTATTAGTTAAAATAAAAATCAATCTGCATAAGTCTTATTCCAAATCGGTAAGGTTTGGTCTCTGCAGAAACCACAACTTGGGAGAAGGTGATTTGCTTGTCATCACAGCCCCCCAACTAGCTTTGGGGTGCATGCATCAAGAGACAACATGAAGAGACTCACTTGAGGCCAAGGGAATGAACTTACCAAGATTTCCTAGGACGTGTAAGGTCTACTGATTACCCATCGAGACACTAACAGTTCCAATTCCTTAAACATCTCAAGATGGCACCTACAGTATAGAAAATCCTACCCTCCATCCCCAATGAATCATTTCTCCAAACATAGGAATGAGGGAAGTAGAGAATGTAGGGAAGGCTATTTCATCAGAACTCCTGAGGGAGAGTGCAGGTTCAGTGGTATGACAGAGCTTTCCTTGTCTTCAACCTGGGTCTAATCTCCTGAAAGGTTGAGTGTCCAAGGCCTGACAAGGTTCCACAGCTTTGGAATAGCCAATGTACAATAAATGTACAGCAAAAAGAGTGAAACTTGAATTATGCATAACACTCTGTAGATCACTGATTACTGTACTATCAGTCTCATCTTCCCATCTACAAGAGATTTTACCCAGATAATAAGCCTGTGGCATGTACTACTTCTATCTACTTGGGAACAGGAGAGAGAAAAGAATTACAAACGAAAACTTCTGATATGACCACTACTTCTTACAGCTTGAGCTAGAACAAATGTGTGTTTGAACAGATCACCTGCATTAAATGACATTTAAAATATGGCAACTTCAGCACATTATGAATATGAAACGTCCCCTTCCCCAACCCCATTTACTTCAGTCTCCCAGGCAAAGTTTTCTGTCGTTCGGCCAGCAGAATGGATGGCATGTGCCAGATGTTACACAAGGCATTTATTTCTCTGAAAAGGCTGAGAGCCAGGAGAATTAATCTCCTTCTACTAGGCCCTCTGCCCCAAGCTTCTGGGGAAACAGAGAATTGGGCTTGACAAGCGAAGTAGCTAGGTGATCCATTAATCAGTTTCAAAACATGAAAATGTATTGTAGAGTGTATCCCCCTTCCTGCTCTTCTCCATGGCAGAAAGACCTAAAGATAATTAATAAAAAGAACTGTCTCTTCAAACTCAAAAGAGGTTAAAAAGTACAAGCAAAAAGTAACTAAATAAAAGGGAGGTATATCAAACCCCCAAAACTCCTGAAAGCAAAAAAGTCCCATGGTGAATGATGTCTGGAAGAAGACGAGGCAGAAGAGACTGACAAAAAGATGGAAGTGGCCGGCTACAAACGTGTCTTGAGGAATCCATGACAGTGTTCTCCATTTCCAGGGCCGAGTAGCTATTCCCAGTAAGTTAAAAATGTTCTATTAAAAAGAAAACAAAACAAAAATAAAAACCACTCCAGAAAAAGGATCAAAGGAAGAAGAACACTGTAGAGAGTCAAGCCGCTGACCGCCGGCGAATCACAAAGAGCCCGCGCTGCAGCTGGCCCAAGTAGATCCTCATCTTGGTGCTGTCACTTGTCTTCCTCACCCAGATCTGCAGGGAGAGGAAAGGGAACAAGATGAGAGAGACTAAGAAATACTGAAGAGCAAATCTCCCAGAGTATCAAAATAGTTGCATGAGTTAAATGTGAGCAGAAAGCTGGCCACCTCCTGTTTGAATGAGCCATCTCAACTTGTGAGAGCCCCACAAACTCCTCCTTGACCTTGGGCCATCCCAAATGCATGCCGCCAGAACAGGCACCAGCCTTGAAAGCATCTCTCCCAGCCATCTCTCTCACACCTGTGATTACAAAAACAGAAAGCACAGCGATTCTGGGTTCCATTTTTGCCTTGATCTTAAAGATTCTTTTTCATTCGGTTTGAATACAGAATTATCAACACGCAAGAGACAGCTAACATAAGCTTTCTTTCTTTCTCTTTCTTTTTCTTTGGAGTTGGAGTCTCACTCTTGTCATCCAGGCTGGAGTGCAGTGGCCTGCTCAAGGTTACCGCAGCCTCAACCTGCTGAGCTTAGGTGATCCTTCTGCCTCTGTCTTCCAAGTAGCTGGAACTACAGTTGCATGCCACCACATCCCGCTAGCTTTTGTGATTTATTATAGAGACGAGTTCTCACCAAGTTGCCCAGGCTTGTCTCGAATCCCAGGTTCAGGCAATCCTCTCACCTCTGCCTGCCAAAGTGCTGGGATTACAGACTGAGGCACCATGCCCAGCCGAACATAAACTTTCAATCAAATTTGGCAATATTTTCCTTATCCCAAGAGACTTGCATATTATATAGCCTTTCAATACCCTGCTTTTCTGGCAATGAAGACTAATGGTTGTGCAGAAAAAGGAAAAAAATACCAACAACAGAAACAATGTCCATGAGTGAACCAAGGCCCAGTTGGGATCACCAGAAGGTTGAAGAGCTTAGGACAGTCCTTCCCTCTCACCTCATCCCTCTCCCACAGATGCTATCAGATTCCATGCATTTTACAGGGTAGATGCATTCTTCTGTGGAACTAAGAATGAACTCTTGCAGGTGGAGGAGGAGGGGCAACTGCCAGATCTGACAAATGCACTCAAAAAGTGGCATCCTGCGGGCAGGGGTGGGAAGGAGAGTGCTGCCACAGTCGCCAGAATCCCCTGAACCAGGGTCACTGAGCTCTTCGTGCCACATCCAGTGAGCTTGTTCACCCTCGGGACAACCCTATCAAGTAAGTGCTACCTACCATCAGCCCCATTTTAAAGAGGAAACCAAAGCCCAGCAAAGCACTTGTCCCAGTGTGAACTCTGGCACCTGACACCAAAGCCCCCGACTACTCTCCTAAACCAGCCTGACTTCTCACCTGTCTTTCTGTAAATTGCAACTATGTGGAGCCAAAACCTTGGTTTTTTTGAAAGGTCTGTGCCTCACCCATATAAACAAGGTTACTCAATTGGTTTGATTATAGCATTATCAACACTCAAGAGACATCTATTCAGGTTTTTAAAAAGCTTATTCTGTTTCATCTCAAATTTCTTTAATGTGATTATTTAACAATAGAGAAACTTTAAAGTCAAATACATTGGTTTAAAAGTAAAAAAAAAAGTTAAAGACCTCACATGAAGCTAAGCCTCTAGAGGACCCAGTAGAACCATTTTAAACTGAAAACTGACCCCAAGGAGGGCTGCATCAAGGAGTCACCAAAACTTTCAGACTCACTCACCAAACCTGCCCATAGTCAAGCTGTGCTAAAGCCAAGTATCTCCAGTGCCACTTAGAAATTCATCTGGAAAATGAGCTGGCAATGGGGAATTACTTCCCCATTCCCAGGGTTGCATACCTCCAATACACTGAGGCTTCTCCCCCCAGGAGACACATCACAGTGGCATGATTCCTTGTCAGATCTCACTGACCCTCTATTATGTCAAAAAGTGACAATATTCAACAGAAAGAGAGAGGAAAAAAAATTGACTTGCATTTTGTTTTTCTGAAAATCATGAGGTGTCCCAAAGGAGAATGCTGTACTGGTTCTGAAGTCAGAATGAGTTTCTAGAAGGCTACATGTGCTTTGTGAAGCTGCCCACACAATCAGGAGCAAATGCTCTACCAAGAAATTGCGGTGCCTCTTGGCTGAGGGACAGCAGGTCTATCAGATCCCCTGTTTTGGTTCTGACGTGGCTAGAGGTGACTCACAAAGACCCTGAGCCCAGAGAAGAACGACACTCATTTATCTGGAAGGCTCCCCTTAACTCCTAGTAAACAATCATTTTGCAAACTAGTCACATTTCAGGGCATTTTCAATTCGGGAAGCTGGGAGAATAGAAGAGGCTTAAGTTATTTCATAATCCAGTTTCATTAGATTTACTGTGCACTGGCACGAATAAGTTACAGAGGGTAGACACGTAAAAATCCATTTCGTTGCAGACATTTGTGGACTGATAAAAGATGAAGCCAATCCAGCTATTAAAGTTTTAAACTTTTTAAAACTACTAACAATACAAGTTACCCACTGATGACATGCTTCTAATGAAGGGTCACTTGGAGAACACTTGGGGCCGTGTCTCACTCATCCTCAGGTGTATCCCCCTCTGAGCTGACTTTAAAATCAGACCTCATCCTCTAGGAGTACCTCAAAGAGACCAATACCTAAGGGCATGCGCCTGGCAGCTCATTCTTCAGAGGCACAAGAGGACACCTCACACAGGAAAGACAGCAGGCAAAAAGTGGCGTGTGGGTCACATGACGTCAGCATCCATTTAGTGAGCACCCAATGGGTACCAGACCCTGTGCCTCATTAAATCCTCAGAGCAAGAAAGAGATCTATTGGTATGTGTGAGAGTTCTAGAGAAATAACCAAGATGGAGCACGCTCCTTTCTCAGTAGACGGTAACCTCAAAAAGAAGCAGGACTTGAACGTACAAACATCACACAGACTTGCCTTTTATTCCTTCCTGCAGTCTAGTTCGTGGTTCACAAACTGGTTGCTGACCAGGCAGTTCACAAATATCCCAAGGAATAGACAAATCTGCATACCGTAGCCAAGCAAATGGAAGGAATTCTCAAGGGTGATTCCGACTATGTGCAATTTCTGCCTGAAAGTGCTGACTTCAGAATCTACTCCACATGTAAGTCATGATTTCCCTGTACTTTCTTGGTGGCACTTTCACTTCAGGTTTGTCATATTTTCAACACTTCACAGAGCACATTTCCACAGAGCACAGGGTGAGGAAATGTGGTTCCTACCAGAGCACATTTCCACAGAGCACAGGGTAAGGAAATGTGGTTCCTACCTCATTGGCACCAACAGAGCTGATCACACAGCTCAGTTTCTGGTTGTCCTTTGACTCCAGATAGATGGCTTGGCTCTTGTGGTACCTGCCAGAAACAAGGCACACATTTTTAAAAAGAAGAGGGGGAGGAAGGAAGTAAAAACAAACCAAAACAAACACACAAACAGAAACAAAGCATCACCACAACAAATCTTATAATTAAAGAAGTCTTAATAATTTATATTTGAGGAACAACCTGGATTTCAGAGGACTTAATTTAAAGGCTTCCATCCTTGGACTGGATTAGATAACCTCCCAATCTTTTCAATCTAAAGCTTATATTCCTGGGTCCGTCTGCAGAGGGGAAAAAGGGGAGCTAAGGAGAATATTGGAAAATGGTTTTTCCTGTTTATCTGGACTGTATGACCCAGTTCAGAAAAGTAAATTTACATTTTTAAAGTAAAACCTCTGTTCCCACTTTCTGGCCCCACCTCAGAACATAAGAAGGTTAGACAGACAAAACAAATAGAAAGGCGTGAACAACTGTTGTTATTAACTTCTGATTTGTCCAAACGAGTCACCAACAAGGAAAAAAGCTGACATCAGCCCTCACTTTGGTCACTCATTCAAAAATACTCAGTCAGCACTTGCCGTGTACAGGTAACCATGCTGGAGGTTGGAGAAAGACAGTCAAGAAGGCCACAAGGTGGCCTGCTGCCCCACAGCTTCCGAGACAGCGGGGACGAGGAACAGTAAATAGTCACACCCGGTACGTGCCAATGAGGCCAAGTTCCAAGTGCACGCCACACGCCACAGGGTAGCTCTTTGACCTGAACAATCGGGAAAGCTGCCATGAACACAGCAGCCAAGGAAGACAGTCCCCTTGCAACTTCTGCATCCACTCTCGGCCTGTAGTGCCGGGCCACGTCTAACTTCTGGAAGTTTAGGGGTAAGGCCAAGGATGAAAGTGAGCAGGCCAGGGCCTGAGCCCGAATGGGACAACAGCTGCCAAGGGACGAAGAAGCAGCTGCTGGATTACAAGAGTTGGAAACATCAGCTGAGCTGCCACCAGCAGCCCTGGCCTGGACCAGCCTAGTGTAGTTAAGAATGTAACTTTGGTTCATTTTGGCTGCCCAGATCTGGCTAAACAGACCCATAAACTCATGCAAATTCCACCAAAACATATCTCCCAGCAAAGTACTGCATCCCTCTTCTTATTTCTCTGGGGGAACAATACAGACTCTTTTGCTGGTATAATGAAATAACCTACTGCCAATATACCACACTAAAGGATGTACTTCACTCCCACAATGAGCTTTTTCCAATCTGGGTTCCAAGTGCTCTTTAGCCTGATACTTAAGAGCTGAAAACTCAGGTTTCCAAGTCAATTTACTTTCTGAAAATACTGTAAAAAGAAATCAAATTTTAAATGCGAGTAGAACAAAATTAGTCTAGGCTCAAGTTATAAAGTTACTCTAGTCCCTACATGAAGGCACCGGGTAACAGGGCCTTCATTATGCTAAATATGGAACATCACAAGCTCCCAACTTTACAGTGCATGAGGTAAGGCTGAATCAGTTCACAGCAACACTCACTTCCCTTGGTTTCTCTCTCATGTCTAGGACAACTATCCCAGGTAAATGTCTTGAGTAATTGTTAGAACAAAAAAATCCCAAGCAATGTCTTGAGTAATTGTTAGAATAAAAGAATCCCAAGCAGTCCTGAGTAATTGTCAGAATAAAAATACGAGAGAGAACACTCATTCTACAGGGATCATGAGTTATTAAAGAGATAAGGACACAAAACAAAATGCAACTAGCCTCAAGTCATTCTGATACTACTTTCTAAACATTTTAATAAAGAAAGGTCATGGATGTGGTATACAAGTATATTACCAGTGTGGAATCATGCTCAGTATACTGCTAAGTAAAGGAAAAAAAAAACCTATGCCCACCTTGTTCCTGTGTTTGTGATAAATATATGCATGTTACGTGTATATTATATATACACACAGAAAAAACTGAGTAAATTTCTATACTGAGATTATATAAAAATTTAAGAATGGTACTTTTGTTACTACACAGCTTCCTTTTTTCTAGAGTAAATAGGTATTATTTACAAGTATACAATATTTTCACAAGTCATAGTATTGGAAAATACCCAAATGATAAACATGAGGTAGAAAGAAAATGTCATAAAGGTCTGTTAAAGAAAACAGTCGACTCTGGAAGCTTATTCAGACAATTCTCATGAGGTATATGGTATTTTCCTTCAATTGTACTTAGAACCCAAACCCAAACACATTTGACGGACTAAAAAGTGAACACCAGGAATAAACAACACAATCAGTCTATTACCTTTGAGAAGTGATTTGGAACTTGGGCATCTGACCACCTCCCAGATCTGCCTCCTATGGGATCACCAACAGTGGTGGCTTGAATGTCCACCACTGGTCTGCACTTGCGCCACAGGAAAGTTGACCAGTGGACTTCCCAAAACAGCTGACTGCCAAACCTACTGACCCCAGCTTCCTCCTGATCCTGTCTCTGGGACTTTTAAGGGATTCCCATGCACCATACAATGGTCTTGGGGAACCATTATCCCTGGCTATTAAATCTATTAAATTATTTAAATTCTCTGAAAAGTCTTCAGAAATTAAAGCGTTCATATAAGGTCAGGTACAGTGGCTCAAGCCTATAATCCCAGCACTTTGGGAGGCCGAGGCAAAAGGATTGCCTGAGCTCAGGGGTTCAAGACCAGCCCAGGCAACTTGACAAGACTTCGTCCCTACAATAAATCAAAAAAATTAGCCAGGCTTGGTAGCACACACCTATAGTTCCAGTTTCTTGGAAGGTTGAGGTGGAAGGATAGCCCGAGCCCAGCAGGTCAAGGTCGCAGTGTCCATGAGTGTGCCACTGCACTCCAGCCTGAGTGACAGAGTGAGACTCCAAAAAAATAAAAAATAAAAGTGTTCATATAGCAGGTTTGTAAGATAAAACCAAAAAATATATAACAACTTTCACATACAAATTTACTTTTCAATTTCAAAAGAATAATAAAAGAGAAGAATGAATTCAAAATGCATTCACAGACCTGGCACAGTGGCTCACGCCTGTAATATCAGTACTTTGGGAGCCAAAGCAGGAGGAGTGCTTGAGCCCAGGAGTTTGAGATCAACCTGGGCAACATAACAAGACTCTGTCTCTACAAAAGACAAACCAACAAAATAGCCAGGCTTGGTAGAGTGCATTTGTAGTCCCAAATACTTGGGAGGCTGAGGTGGAAGAACAGCCTGAGCCCAAAAAGTTGAGGCTGTGGTGAGCTGTGATGGTGCCACTGCACTCCAGCCTGGTGAGACCTTGACTCAAAAGAAAAAAAGAAAAAACCATTTACATATAAAATGTGTTAGGAAGCAACATCAATAGGGCTAAAGTAATAAAAATGTGTATTATCAATTTTTTGCCAATTAACCTGCTTTACTAGCTGCAATTCAACTGCTAAGAAAGAAAAACAAAACCACTTTAAACAGCCTCAGAGAATAAGCCTCAAATGTCAAATTCACTTCATTACTAATGGAAATTCTGTACTGGGAACCTCTACAATTAAGCTCTTAAAGCTGTGCACCACTACTATTAAAACCAAAAAACTAGAATTACCACTACTGTATTATTTTGGAAGAAAGCAATTTCTTGAGAAGGTGGACCCAAAAGCCCACCAAGGAGGGGCAAGGAAGGAGAAGAATTCATTTAATTTTGTATCCTACTAGGAATCCTGATATTAACACTTCATTTCCCATAAAATGAAGCCACATTACAGCCACAGAATTCAGAGAGTCCCAATTCTAGTTGTATTCACTAAGATAACAGTCTTTTGTATCAACAGAAGGCTGGAGGGTTAAATCCACTTAAGTAAGTTAGTGACTTCATTTCTGATTCACACTAGCAGCCCCAGATTTAAAGTGATGAGAGAAAACATAGTCCCCCAGCACCATCAGTTAATTATTTTAAAATATCAGTTACTTTCACAGTATTTTTTGAGGGGTCATTAGTCCAAATCAAAATGTGAGACAAACTTACAGCATGATATAAAATGTCTTAAAAGCAGTATAAAACCAAAGCACAGGGAAGATGCTTATCTTTCAAAATGAAAGGGAGTTCTACAAGTGTTTACACCAAGATGGGAAGCCTGAATCCCATTCATTTTGCTGAAGTCATTTGAAGCTCAGTAAAACACACTTTGCCATACTGTTGCACCAAAATGCTCCACCGCACCAGAAGCATAAGGTAGTTTGGCTGACTTCTGAGCCACAGGCCATGTCTGCTAAAGAAAAAAGAAAAATGAAGCCTCCAACTGACAAGGCCAAACAAGAGGCTGGTGAGATGGGAGAGGCTGGCTCTGCACTGGTGAAAACCTCAGCCAGGACTCCCAAGAACTCCTTTCAATGATCATCAGCAATCACCTTCTAACAACTAACTGCATTATGAACTCTCATTGCCAAGGCCAACAAAGGCAAATGTACAAAATATAGAAGAGAACAATGTTCTCAAAGTATATTTAAACAAGAATGCAGCTTTAAATTCACTGAAAAAGTGGCCAGGCTCAGTAGCTCAACCTATAATCCCAGCACTTTGGGAGGCCGAGTCGAGAGGATTGTCTGAGCCCACAGGTTCGAGACCCACCCAGGCAACTTGGCGAGACCTCATCTCTACAATAAATCAAAAATTAGCCGGATGTGGTAGCATGCGCCTGTAGTTCCGGCTACTGGGAAGGCTGAGGCAGAAGGATCTCCTGAGCTCAGAGGTCAAGGCTGTGGTGGCCGGCCGGGAGCGTGCCATTGCCCTCCAGCCTGGGTGACAGAATGAGACTCCAACTCACAAAAAATAAATAAATAAATAAATTCACTGAAAAAGTAAAATGTTTCCAGAGACGTTATTCTTTAAATGCCTGCTGCTAATGTGAGAAAAATGGTGAGAGTTCCTTTAAAATGTTTAGTTCTAACACATCAAACCTGACCATTCTGCTTACATTATAAAACACCAGTCACTGTGGATCCTTCCTCTAAAAAAACAAGAATTTTACTTTACTGCATTTTCACCTTCAAGACACGTCTCATAAAGTCTGAGGATTAAGCCTAGAAAGAGGACAATCCAAAGCAACACAATTACAAAATGAACATCATCTGAAATATCACATGGCTTTAAGACGCACAGATCCGTAAAAATGTTAGTGATAAATCTCATCATTTTCAAAGATGGTTCTTATGTGTGGGCTTGATCTTTAAAGGTTATTTGGTTTTCATTATTAGAAACATTTTTCATCTTATTTTGCCCTTCTCAGTGTGTTGAGCTATTACGACCTGCCACCTAGTGGTGGTATGTCTGATAAGCAATGTTAAGGTGCAATACTAAACTGACCTTTTTACAGAATGCCAAAGAATAACCAAATCAAAGGGGCAGAAGTCATTAATACAAGGCTTATAGATAAAGCAAGGCTCCAGTTTGCTAGGTAATTATCTACTAGGTAATTAACTTACTGTAACTTAATAGGTGAAAATGATTTGTCTCAGGCATGACTAGATCGCTAAGCATTTTTTGGCAAGTACAATATCATAAAGTAACCAAGTAACACAATACTGGGTTTTTTCCTCAAAAAAAGCTCAAAAAATTCAAAGTAACCATCAACTGAATTTTGAAACTTTTAGCTAAACAAAAGCAATGAAATTCAAGGGATCACTAGAGAGTCATTATAAATAATAATTATAGAGACCATACAGCAACCCAGAAAAACATTCTCAATATGACCAAGTTTCGGAATGGCAGAGCAAACCATGTGCCCACTATGACCTAAAATAGAGAGTATGCCTGCATATGGACCAAAAAAAAAAAAAAAAAAAATGGAGATATAGAGTGATTTAATACCTAATACAATGCTTAAATACAAAGCAGACCAAAAAATGTTTGTGGAATAAATAAATCTATGAATTTTCAAGGTTCTTTCATGTTGTTTTGCCATTTCCTTTCCAATGAAAACTGCTGGTGGTCTGAAGGTTTCGTCTTCGTTCTAAACTAGGAATGTATTAGGATATAATTGCCCTGAATGAGTAAGTTTCCTGGAACACTTTTGCAGAGGGATGATGCAAGAGAAAAGGGTATGTGGTGTCAAATAAAAAATATCTAATACCATCTTAGAAATTCACAGTGCACATCAGCATATCACAGGATCCAAAGAGCACTACAAGGGAGAAACCCTCTTATTTTAATTAACATGATCATCCCCTAAATGGATTTTACCACAATATCCTTTTATCTGAAGTATTAACTTTAGCACAGAGGGGCAGAGTTAAGAGGAGGGGAGAAGGGAACATATACCCCAGCCCCAGTTGGCAAGAGCAACACCAAAAACATCAGCCTGCAAATTCCATGACAGCAGCATGGAGAGGGAAGGGGGCCGCCATCTGCAGAACATGGTTCTGGGAAATGCTGCTTTCAGAGATCTAACAGAAGCATCGATCAAATGACTGCGTATACATTTTAAATGGGCTTCTACTTCTAGCACTATCCAAGCTTAGAAGCAGCCATGCTCTAAAATAACAGCCATAGATAGCGGAGCCCTCTTTTCAAGTGGGCCTTTTGAGACTTACAAGTCCAGGTTTTCCTGTAACATACCATCTTTTATCATAGTACAGTTTGCCATCTTCTATCCGAGCTTCAAATCTCTGAGCTGGAGATTCTGCAGGTGTGGCAGGCAAGTGTTCAGGAGAGGATGGGGAGGCTGGAGGAAACAGAGATACTTACATAGCTAAGAATGTAACAAACACACATGAGTCCATCATTTAACATGCTTACCAGAATGTGGTAATAATCATGGCCAAGCTCCAGCGAGCTAAAGTCAACAAAATTCGTGTATAGTACATCTAACTTGATCTTCAAAGCAACCCTGTGAGGTAGGTAAGGCACAGATAAACCTCACTAAACAGAGGAGAAACTTGGGGCTCAGGAAGGTTAAGGTCGATTGTGTAAATGCACAAGGCCTCTCAGAGAAGGACTAAAACTTTGGTGACCATCAGAAGCCCAAAGGAGCAAGTATTATGAAATCTCTTTTACAAATGAAATCATTTCAAGAACCACAGTGGGTTCAAAATGATCTACATTCACCCACTCCACACTCATATAACCCCCGCCCCCTGCCGTCACGCCTCAGAAGTTCAGGACATCTCTGCGGACCATGGCAGCTCCCAGAAGACATTATCTAGAGAAAAAAGCATCTTCTTCCTCCACAAGTCAATGAGTAGAGCAATGTGTAAGTAATCACAGTCTTTAAACATAGAAAAGACATTACCAATTCAGAATTCTAGTCTGCAACCCAGACTGACTGTCAAGTGCTGTTCTGGAAGGAGCGACTATGAACACTGAGCTGGCCTCTTCTATAAACCACGACTCAGAGCAGCCTGTGAATGCTTTACCAGAGCCAGGTCATGAAAATCCACTAGAATAGTATTGCTGGGACTTAACTCTAGAAAATGAGAAACACGAAAAATCCTTCTGGTTTCATTTTCAAAAATGGATGTGTATTTAAACCATATGCCTGACGCCTACACAGAAGGAAACCTTTACCAGCCAATCAAACGTCTCTTTTACAATAAATTCTGAGGAAAAGACAAAAATAACATATTAGGGTTAAAAAAAATCAGGGAGGGGTTCACTTTAGGTGCCCTTCAGTTTTCGTGATGACTACTGTTAGGCAAATGATGAACATTTTCCTTTTGAAAATTGCAACAATTCCCTGACAGGTATTCACATGCTTTTCCAACAACATGATGAAAAGATTGCACAAATGCCAATACATCATGCACTTACCTGGTCTCTTGGGTGACTTAAGCTGTAGGAAGAACAACAACAAAAAATCTTAGAGAAAATCACTTCAGAGGCAACTTCAGATGTCAAAGGTATCATAATGATTTAACAAGTAACATGTTAACAAAGGGAAGCTGAAAACCATGTCAAGCCTGAGCTTTCAAATAAATTTTTTTTAAAAAATCAAGCTGTACCTTATTTAATGTTCTCAGATCCTCCATGATCTGTTCATCTGTTAACAAATAGTTTAGCTGGGGTGTTGAGAGTTAAAGGAATATATCTGAAAAGTATGGTTTTCAAGCAAAGAGTAATCAACAAAATGGAAGCAGTATTTTAGAATTTTACAAAGCATGACTATGTTAAATTATGTTTTTACAATAGTCTACTGCTTAGAAATGTATGATTTTCCTACTAAACATCATGTGCTTAGGTATATAAAAGAATTCACATCTCCCATCTTACAAACTACTATGATGAGATTCATTAGGTATCTACAATAACAGAGCACAGGAAACAGTAAAGTAAGAATTTCATCCAGAATTTATAAGGTGTTTTTGTTCCACAGTTCTAAAGCCTTCCACACACACACAACATAAGGTTAATCTTCTCCAGCAACTAAATCCTCAGTTGTGAAGGTGAAGGGACCTGAAGTTATGCCCTTTTCTGGTGGTGCACAAACAACTGAACCTTTCTAGGCAAACAGCTATTATCTCTTCAAGAAGAATAGAAAAAACATTTCTCCATGTGTGCTGTTCTTGTTACCACTTTTATGATTAAAGGGTTTCTTTGTCTGACTGAAATCTCATTTGCTTTAAGTTAAAAACAGTTTGCATCTGGGCACTGTGGTTCACGCCTGTAATCCCAGCACCTTAGGAGGTGGAGGTGAGAGGACTTACCTGAGTCGAGACCAGCCTGGGCAACATGGCGAGACCTCATCTCTATAATAAATCAAAAAATTAGCTGGCACACGTCTATAATTCCAGCTACTAGGAAGGCTGAAGCAGAAGGATCGCCTGAGTCCAGCAGGTCGAGGCTGTGGTGGCCGTGAGCGTGCCACTGTACTGTACTCCAGCTTGGGCAACAGAGTGAGACTCCAACTCAAAAAAAAAAACCAACAAAACAGTCTGCACTCCACTATTTTAGTTATCTGTAGATAACTGAGGTACATAGAAGCAGACGGTACTATCTTCATTTGACAGTAGAAAATTCCAGTGGAAAACTTAAGGCACATCAAGTTTCCAGATAACCCTGAATCTTGAAGTTTGTGTTAAAACCAGGCTGAACTTCCCACACAAAGCACCTTTCCAAATAACGACTCTCTCTAAGTCTCTCCCACTAAAAGCAGTAGCAAATGAGAACTCCAATAATAAAATGGCTAGCCCCTATCCCATGGACAAATATTCTACATGTTATGTACCTTCCAATCAAATAATACTATTCTGTAGGACAATGGCCATGTATATTCTATCAAATGGATAAGCAAAGGATTCAACAGTCTTAAGAAAAAAAGCAACTAACGTTCAATACAAATGGATATCAGGAGCAGGCTTCCTCCTCTTGTCCGGGATGGGAACAGGATCATTTGGGCGCCTCCGCAACTTTCTGGTCATGATAGGTTTCACTTCCATAGAATCTGTGGTGAGAATGGAATGGGTAAATCTATCCAACCCCCATCTGAAGCCAGTAAGAATTTTTACAGTGAAGAATATGCCCCATAGCCATCCAATTGAAACCGTCATATTGGGAATGTTTGGTCTACACATGGCCCAAGCCAGATGCCCCTAAAAGACTTTAAAAAGCATCCATGCTTGTAAGATTCAGATCAGCTGCCCTAGGAGCACCCCCCTTTCAGAAATGCTGCCCTACAATCTAGCACTATAACCACTGTAGGCTGCTCTCCAGTACCCTCAAAATCTAGGGGCTATTCCTCCTCTCCCTTAAGAAACCCCAAAGTTGTAGGTTCGTGGGATAGGAAGGAACCTTAAGGTCATCTCCAGTCAGCTAATTTCTCCTGTTCCCATGGAGGGTGGGTATGCTGAAGCCCACTGGTATAAAGGGCTCTTTGAGAGGCCACTGGCCTCAGTGCCCACACTTTTATACTGAGTCTTCACTGACAGACTCAGACTCTTTTTTCTTTTATAACCTTTTGTAGCCACTTGACTATCAAGAATGATACAATGCAGGCTCACAATAGAAGCCTCTTTTCATTCTTCTTTACTCTTCTGTGCAGTCTGACACTGATACTGACTTCCTCCACCTTAAAATCACTCCTGCCCAGCCGCAGCCCCAGTGCTCAAGGAGGCTGACTTGCATCGCAGGGGTCCTTTTGGGCTTGCCGCCTCCCTGAATACTGGAGAGTTCTAGGGTCCAGTCAGTCCTCAGCCTGTATCCCAACGAACTTCCACTTACCAACTCTAGCTCCACCCAGTCCTCTGACTGGCAATCAGTACCCTACACCACATTCTCTCAACACTCCAGGCAAACTCATTTCTTCTCCTTCTTTACCCTAAAGTTGCCTCTTCTGCACCTCAGGGACATCAGACCTATCCATCCTTCTAAACCAGAACAAAAACCGTCACCTGTGACTTGTCTTCCTTCACCCAGGCATCAAATTCGCCAGATGATGTCAGTTCTGCCTCAACGCCATCCCCTTATCTTTTCACTGACCTACCTTCATAACCTTCAGTGGTTTCTCCCATGTCCCGTCTATCCTCTCCTCTCTCAAAGAGATCTTCCTACAATACAAACCAGATCATTTTGCCTACCACTCTTACTAAATATTTTAGTGACTTGCCATTCTCCATGGGATAAATGTCAAGCCTCATTTCTGGTCTTCCTTCTCTTTCATTCACATCTACCCTGTGTGCAAGTTTTTAGCTATTCTGTTACCCAAAGGTATCAGACTTTATGCCTTCAAGCCTCTGCACAGCTGTTCTCTGCCTGACTTCAAGCCTCTGCACAGTTGTTCTCTGCCTAACCTCCTCTTTTCTCCCAGTAAACTCCTACATAACATCCTTTGAGAATCAGTTCAATTCTCCTCCTTCTGCAACAGCTTCTAAAGGCAGAGGATCATTCCATCTTCCAAGTAACCAAAGCATCTGTGCAAGCCTCTACTATACCAAGCGCCACACTGTACAGGACATTACCCCCACTGGACGTTTGAATCCCACCCTAGCACCTGGCAATAGTCTGGCACAGTAGGGGGGTTTCACAAAATCTCCTGAAGAATGGCTAGATGAGGTCAAGCCTGACCATGGGATAAAGTTTATTTGAAATTATGCACACCATAAGGAGGGTGGGCAGGGCAGCAACAGGGAATTCTACACACAGAGTGTATACAGTCTCAGCATATATCATAAACACACCACAGGAAGTCTAAGTTGCTGCCTATTGCTCTTAAGAAGAGAAACGGGGGCTAGGAGCCATGCCTACAATCCCAGCACTTTGGGAGGCTGAGGCTGGAGGATACCTTAAGCCCAGGAGTTCAAGATTAGCCTGGGCTACATAGACTTTGTCTCTACAAAAAAAATTTTTAAATAGCCGGGGTGGGCTGGGGAGTGGTGGTGGCAAACACCTGTAGTCCCAGCTACTTGGAAGGCTGAGGAGGAAGGACTGCTTGAGCACTCCCCCAAAAAAGGGAGAGAAATGTGTAATACTGGATTTCTCCCCCCTGAACGTAACGAAGATAAAATAAGAACCAAAGACCTGATAAATATTTGTATGGGTGTACTTGGAAATGTAAAAAAGCAAAAGAGTGCGCGCGCGCGCTCACACACACACACACACACACACACACACACACACACACACACACACTGGAAAAAAAGCAGGGGGGACTTCTCCCTATATCTCTTCCTATGTTGAAATGCTGCTGTTCTCCAGTTATTTACTGGCCAGTGGCACAGCACCATGGCTAAGGGCCCAGGTGTCACACAAACGTGGTTCTGAATCCCTGCAGGAGCTGTGTACCCTAAGGCATGCTACGTAAATGCTCTACATCTCAAGTTTCCTTGTGTAGAGAATGGAAGTATCAGTAATATACATGTATAGCCTTTAATGCATGGCTAAGAGCCCAGGTGTCACACAAACGTGGTTCTGAATCCCTGCAGGAGCTGTGTACCCTAAGGCATGCTACGTAAATGCTCTACATCTCAAGTTTCCTTGTGTAGAGAATGGAAGTATCAGTGATATACATGTATAGCCTTTAATGCAGTACTTGGTACAATGAGAGTTGCATCAATGCTGGTTTTTATTACTTTTCAGGCAGAAGAAAACTATACTAAGAGCCTTGGCTTTTTTTTTTTATTTTTTTTTTTTTAAGTTAAGGTCTCACTCTGTTGCTCAGTCTGGAGTGCAATGGCATGACCATGGCTCACTGCAGCTTCTACCTCCTGGGCTCAGGCGAACCTCTCACCTCAGAATCTCAAGTAGCTGGAACTACAGGTATGCACCACCAGGTTCAGCAAATTTTCTGTAGAGATGAAGTCTCACTATGTTACCTAGACTGGTCTTGAACTCCTGGGTTTAAGCAATCCTCTATCCTGGGCCTCCCAAAGTGTTAGGATTATAGGCGTGAGCCACCACATCCAGCCTACAAAGATCCTTTTTAAAAGTCAATACACAAACAGCCAAAAAGAAGCTCCATAGTTAAAGGCAGCTGATATCAACTGTGAGGCTGTCCAACACTCATACCTAATTTGGAAAACAAAGTGTTTGTGTGAAGATGAGACAATGGAAAGCCTATACAGTGCTTCAAAAAGAGGGTGATGCATAGAGTAAACACTCAGGGATTGGGAAGCTGTGACCTCGTTTAGTTCCTGCAGCTTCTTCTGACCTGAGCATCACTTCCCATGGAGGTGTGTAATTCTTCTTGGGTTAAGCTCATCCAGTCCAAAAGAGCACCAGAGAAAAAACCATGTAGCCGTGAACTATTATGGAATGTTCTGTCCACCAAAGAGGATGGCTGCGTGTACACTGCTCTGCAGGCTGCAGAGACTGGGGAGTGGGAGGTGAGCAATACATGATGGAAGCATGCCATGTAAAGGTGAGGGGATCTGGGGAAAATTAAGTCTGAACATAGCCACTAAACTCTGAAAATCATAATCGCTTCACTTACAGAGCAGAAAATATAATCAAACCCTTCTTATGAAATGGTGAGAATCAATTCATTTTATTAGCCTAGTAACAGCAACCTAATGGACTTTATTCAAAAGACTGCTTCTGCAGAAGGAAGGTACTCTGGAGAAAGCCCTAGAATTCAACAGCATGTTTCCACCACTGTCTAGGAAAGCAGAGGCAGCAGGGAGCAGTCCTAGCCAGTGGCCCAGGTGGAAGATATGATTAGAGAAGGGGATCAACATGTATGCCACAGCCCCAACAGACACAGTAAGGCTATACACTTGTCACCTGTTCCAGTGCCAGGCTTGCCTAGTTGGCTTCTAAGGCAGACTCTTCACAGAAGAATGGGACAGCCTGCCACCTGGGTCTGATCTGCCTGGGAAGTTCTATTTCTCACTGTAAGCAACAAGCTGGTATTCTGAGTTTATAATATCAGCCTCCTGTGAGTTTGGCCAGTAAGAGTCCAAAGAAGTTCAATCTGGGAACAATGACAAAAATCAAACGTCCAGAACTGAAGCTCAGGCCTTAGAGTGTGGCCACCCTGGAGAAGACATCTGAGCAGGGATTCTGTCAGTCTTCCTCTCAAGACACTGTGCACCAAACACAAATTATATTAAATTAGAAAAGTAGCTGGGCTCGGTGGCTCAGCCTGTAATCCTGCGCTTTGGGAGGCTGAGGTGAGTGGATTGCCTGAGCCCGTGGGTTCGAGACCCGCCTGGGCAACTTGGCGAGACCTCATCTCTATGATAAATTTTTAAAAATTAGCATGGTAGCATACACCTGTAGTTCCAGCTACTTGGAAGGCTGAGCGGAAGGATCACCAGAGCCCAGCAGGTCGAGACTGCGGGGGCCGGGAACGGCCACTGCACTGCAGTCTGGGTGACAGAGTGAGACTCCAACTCAAAAAAAAAGAAAGAAAAGTTTATTGGAAAGCCTCTCCCTGAGCTAGAGGATTCTTCATAGGTTTGCTTCAGTGGGGATACCATTTGTAGACTCATTAAATATCTAACAATTAAAACAGACTTGGGAGAGTATTTGTGAGAAAAAACACCAAACAAGCAACAAGACTAGGTATACAACTTCTCCCCAAACCATCTTGCAATAAGACCTTGAATAGTGCACATCCTATTGCTCTACTCACCAGGATACCTGCTAGATACAGGCACCCCCCAGGTAGCACTGGGTCTGCCTTCTAAGAAATGGGAGCAGGGTGAATTATGCTTAGTAGAGTCATTACAGCACAATCCCCATGCAGAGATATTCCTGATAAATTAATTACCTGCAATTAACATACAATAACCAGCTTACTGGCTGGCCTTTTATTCTGCACTTCCCTGGGCCTATTCATTCACTTCCAACAGCTCACTTGCCTACAGTACAACTGCAAATAAAAGCTTCATTTTAATATACTTTAACCATTATAACAAGCTATTTGTTTACCTGTTGAAAAAAAAAAACTAGCTGCAGTGATTCAAAGAAGCACCCTTAAGAAATGGGATATAAGTGGTGGAACGAAAAGCCACTGCAGACTTTTCATAATTGACAACACTGTAGCATGTTGTCAATTACCTCCAAACCAGAGGCAGAGCAACATGGGGCTGGACCAGAGGCCAGGAGCCATCCCCAGGACACCCCGCACCTCTCTCTAGTGGGGTAGCAGGTTGATCAATGCTGTCACATACCAAGACTGCAGTGGCAACCACAAACAAGTGCCTATGGGATGGGGTAGAAGAATCAAGGTCAGGTCACTGGAGGGCCAATCAAGGCAGGAATGAAGGGACCAGTCTCCATAATGGGCCAATGTTGTCCATAATGAAGGAATGACAGTTAAAGAACAGCCAATCTAGCCTTCCTAGCTGCACTGTCAACCACATTAAATGGCCTGGATTCCACAGGAAACAGGAAAGAGCAACTGGAGGACAAGCCCACTCCACCCCAAATCCAGGTCACCTCTTCCATTCTCCCTTTCCCGACAGTAGTGCAGAATCTCTTCTCCCTGCCTAGACTTCTCCCCACCTTGACATCACCCCGCCCTGACTTCTCCCCACCTTGACTTCCCCTGCTCATTTTGGCATCTATTATTAACTGTGTGAAACCTATTGCTCCTAGAGTAGTACAAACACATATACCTTAAGGTTTCAGAATCAGTGAGAACAAGCCCATCAACTCTTTAGGGGCCCGCTGTCTCAACAATGCATTACACTGGGGTAAATGGAGAAGCTGTGTCAGCTTTCAAACTATCAGAACATAAGCTCCTTGGGGACACAGACCTTACCTACTAGCCTAATTCTTTAAATTACTCAGTGCTGCATGCTATCTGCAGAGAATTGGTATAATTTGGTGGTTAAGAGAACAGTTTGGAGTCAAATTCTGGCTTAACCACAATCTCACCGAGGGACTTGAAGCAAATCGCTCCACTTCTCTAAGCCTGTTTGCCATCTGTAAAATCAGAATAGTGACACCTAGGTCAAAGGAAGCTGCAGGAACTAAATGAGGTCAAAACTTCCCAATCCCTGAGTGTCTACTCTGTGCATCAGCCACTTTCTGAAGCACCATGTAGGCATTACGTCATCTCATCTTCACATCAACCCCCCGTAATAGGTTTTATCATCCCCTGGCCAAGTGAGAAAACCCGACCTCAGAACTAAGCTTGTGACAGAGCCAGGATTCCCCCAGGATTGTCGGCCTGCAGAGGCAGCTCTAGCATTTTTCTATAATGCCTGGCTCAGTGTAAGTGCTCAGGAAACAGACTTCTATCTTGACATTTTAATGATTCATGGTACCAGCTATGAACCCAGTATCTTCTAAAGGAAACTCACAGGCTTTCCTGAGGTCATGAATAACTTCCACAGGGGCCTAAGGGTTGGAAAATGCCCTTGGTGAGCAAGAACTTACAAAAGAAAATGAAGTAGCAGTTACTGCACTGTTGGAAGAAAGGGGCAAAGAAGGCTGCTAGTAAAACAAAATGAAAACCACATAAAAAATAATAAAGCACCCCACAATTTAAAGATCCTCAAGTTCTCACTGATTATTTGGGTTACTTATAATCTTGGCCTCCACTTCGGAGAAAAACGACACTCAGGTAATTCTGTCTCTATCCTTACTACCCTAAGTCTGGTTGACCAGCATCATCAGCAGTCCCCAGGAGGTGACTAGAAATACAGGATCTCAGCTGCCACCCAAGACCCCTGAAACAGAATCTATATTTTACCAGGTCCCCCGGGTGACCCACGTACACATTAAAGTTGGAGAAGTTCTAACCTAGCTCAACCTAACTTCTTTATCTATGGTACACTTCTCTACCTGTACAAGCCAGTTCTCATGAGCTTCCCACAAGAAGTGTGGGTAGTGAAGAGTACAGCCTGTCAATTCCCATGGAAATGTGTAAATGCTTTAAGTCAGCCAAAAAGAGAAGGTCACTGAATACACCCATTTCCAACAGGTTTTGAACTAAACTTCTCATCAGCCTCTTAATCTACTTTGTTTTTCAAGAACTCTTCACCTTGAACCAGAAAAGAAGACTTTAAAAAATAGCTTTGCAGGGCAAGGCTGGGCTACACTGATATTGGGCATCAATCCACAAAGGTGAAATAAGTCACTCAATTAGAGGAATGAAATCAGGCCTTTAATCCAACACCATAGCCGCACCATCTGTGGAAATGCTAATTACCCTTCTAGCTCCAGTGCCTTTTCTTCCAATACTCTATCATTACCTTGGCAGTGCTTTCCATAGCAAGGGTACCAAATGGCTTGAGGAAGGACATCGGTACCTTTAATGCCCATGGCTAGCTTTAAACACTTCTGTAATCTATTTTATTGCACTACAAATGATTTCCCTGCATGTATTTGTCTTTTCTAGCCTGGCAGGCTCAGCCTCAAGTCACTGAGGATACCTCCTGTCCCAGTTAAGATTCTGGCCGTAAAACTGCCTGGCCAATGTCTATCACTTGTCAACAATCAGGATGCCAGACCACAGGTGAGGTGATGATACCCTTCCCCACAGATGGAAAGAGAACAGCTATACACTGACAATATCGCCCACTAGCCTCATGAAGGCTCCTCAACATCTGGTGGTTCCCGCGGAGAGTAATGAGGCATCAATGCCAGTCCCAGCCACCATCAAAGAAAACGTGGAGGCCTGAAAGGCAGCAGACTGGTACCAACAAGGCATCACAGTGCTATCAGTCTAATTAAAAGAGCATTTCCTCAAGAGCAAGGGGCAAGCTGCTGTTTTTGCATCTATTCTCACAAAAAAACCATTTCTAGTCGTTTTCAGAGGCCTTCAAGAAACTCACTCCTCTTGCCAAACCTTTCAATGAGGAAGCTATCAGAGGAGAGGTTTTTCAAGAGTCAGACCCCGCCTCAGGCAGGCACAGCCACATTCTCCTCAGTGCATCATGGGGACTGGAGCCAGAAGCCTACGTCAGAGGGCCAAGTTGGTTCACAGCACCAGAAACATATGGGAGGAAACACAGACCTTAACTGGTTACTTTTAATTTCAAAGTCAGTCCCAAGAACATCTATAAAAACACTGCATTTCCCATGGAATCCTGCTAAAATCAGGCATGCCAGAATCCTAGTATCTTCTGGACATAATTTTAAGAGTTAAACTCTGGGGTATACAGAAATGCACGCCACCTCCATACCCAAGGGATGAACTCACCACTGATTTGCATGGCAGTATTTGCCAAGTTCCAGAACAGCAAGTTCAAGTCAATTCCCTGTATCCTTCTAGGATCCATTGGTCTACATATGGCAACAGAGAAGCCAGCCCATGTTGCTTCTCCCTTAAACTTGACTACAACCTGCTGAGTTCCCATCTGTGGATTACTAAACCCTAGAGGACTAGGAAGGAAGAGATTGGTTCTGAGTCTGTGTAACTTTGCTACCTTTTATAGGAAAACAGTTAAGTTTAGCTACCCTGCTGGAATCCTATCAAGTTTTTCTGAAATGTTCGCAATAGCACCTGGTGGAAGCCATCTAATAGAACAGATGATACAGCCAAAAGTCTTTGTTCTCACATCTAGGTTAAGGGAGACAATAACTTTCCTGTAATTAAGGCACACTGGAAGAAAACAAAGCAGGATTCCCATCACCACAGATAAACTTATGTAAGTAACTCAGAAATCTAATCAAGACACAAACTGTAGATGACCTAGGAATTAGCAAAGGATAAGCCAAAACCTGCAATTACTAGTAAAGGCCCACCACTTACTGAACACTCGTTATGTACAGTACACTGTAATAGGCAAACATATGTCTAACCACAATCCTGTGAGACACAAGGGTGGATTAGCCCGTCTTATAGAGAGGGAAACAGACTCAGAGAAGAAGGTAAACAGTTTGACTAAGGTCACACAGCCAACACAGGGTAGAGCTGAAACTCACCTTGCTCTGCTCTCAACTAGTACAGCCCTTCAGGGCCCCCTCAGGACTTTTAGGACCCCATTCCAGGAGGCTTTCATACCTCCAGTCAGTTCCATTGTTAGTTTTTCATTTTCAATCATTTTCTTCTTTTCTTCCAGCTCAGCAATCAGGTTCTCTTTCAGCTCCACCTTCTTGTCTTCAAATTCTTTCACTGCTGCCTTCTTTTCTTTAATGTAATTTCTTTCCACTTGTTCAGTCTGAGCAAAAGAGAAACACAGGTTAGGAGTACACAGCCCTGGGAGCAGGGCTCCAATTCAAAGTCCAGCTCTGTCCTCAATAACCCTTAGAAGAAACACGAGACACACTTTCACTCACACACACTTGCAGTCACAGGGTATCTGGGAGCAAGTTTTCCAACAATGCATAAAATCGAGTCACATACCTTTTGAGTATACTTCACTGACTACTCTGGTCTTTTCTCTCTTCCACATCTTTTTTTTTTTTTTTGAGTTGGTGTCCTGTTCTGTTGTCCAGGCCGGAATGCACTGGTACACTCATGGTCACCGCAGCCTCAACTTGCTGGGCTCAGGCAATCCTTCCACCTCAGCCTACCAAGTAGCTAGAACTACAGGTGTGTACCACCACATCCAGCTAATGTTTTGGTTTATTGTAAAGATGAGATCTTGCCATTTGTCCAGGTGAGCCTTGAATGCCTGGGCTTAGGCAATTCTCTCACCTCGGCCTCCCAAAGTGCTGGGATTACAGGAGTGAGTCACCATGCCTGGTTTCTTCTTTTCTTTTGGAGTAGAAGTCTCACTCTGTTGCCCAGGCTAGAACGCAGTGGCATGCTCACGGCCACTGCAGCCTCAACCTGCTGGGCTTAGGTGATCCTTCCACTGCCTTCCAAGCAGATGGAACCACAGGCATGTGCCATCATACCCAGCTAATTTTTTTATTTATTGTAGAGACAATGTTTCGCCAAGTTGCCCAGGCTAGTCTCAAATCTCTGGATTCAGGAAATCTTCTTGCCTCCACCTTCCAAAGTGTTGGGATTACAGGCATGAGCCACCACGCCCGGACGCTTCCACATCTCATATTCTTAGCTTTTATATTAAAATAAAACACAGGCCAGGTGCAGTGGCTCACACCTATAATCTCAGCACTTTGGGAGGTGGAAGTGAAAGGACTGCCTGAATCCACAGATTTGAGACGAGCCTGGGCAACATTGAAAGACCTCGTCTCTACAATAAAACAAAGAAATTAGCTGGGCATGGTGGTATGCACCAGTAGTTTCAGCTACTTGGAAGGCTGAGGTGGTAGGATCACCTGAGCCCGGCAGGTCGACGCTGCGGTGGCCGTGAGTACACCACTGCACTCCAGCCTTGGCAACAGAATGAGTCTCCAATTCAAAAAAACAAAACAAAAAAAAATAAACAAAACTGCAGCCAGGCATTATGGCTCCTGCCTGTAATCCCAGCACTTGCCAGGGGTTTGAGACCAGCCTGAGCAACTTGGCGAGACCTCATCTCTACAATGAATGAAAAAATTAGTCGGGCATGGTAGTATGAGCCTGTAGTTCTAGCTACTTGGAAGGTTGAGCCAGAAGGATCGCCTAAGCTCAGCAAAGTGAGGCTGCAGTAGCTGTGATCATACCACTGCACTCCAGCCTGGGCAAGTGAGTAAGACTCTGACTCAAAAAAAAAAAAAAAAGTGCATCCACTTTTCAAATCTCACCACTGAATTAAGTGACAAACAAAGGAACCTATGGTGGGCTGTGGATATGGATTCAGGCTGAGTGACTTTGGGTGCTGAACTGACTTCAGTAATTAAAATGGATTCCAATAATGTGGCTCTGAAAAGTCACAACCTTCTCAAAAAGTACCCCCCACACAAACACACACACACACTAGCCAGGCCACACTGGGAGTAGGACATCATTCAAAATTCAGGCCCTCATCTCTGAACCATAACACTGAGCCTGACATAGAACCAGCACCATGGAATGAAAATAAAAATTAAAAATCCATCTTTCTTATTGGTCCAGAAAGTTTGAGCTGCAAAACAGAACTGCTGAGCCAACTGGGAGACTGGGCTACTTCGAGGACCAATATCAGATTATCAGGCCATTATAATTCAGACACACTTTAATGTGAGACAACAATCAACAAGAAAGCAGTGTAGGCTGCGCATTCTTCAATTCCCTGTGACAAGCAGAAGCTGCCCACCCAACAAATGAATAGACCGAATGCCTGAATTGAGACCAAATGTCCTTTAGGCAAACAGAACAAAGGTGAAGGCTTCAAACTATCTATCTGGTGATAGAAGGAAAGACCACCAGATCAGGAGAGCAAAATTCTGTCTCAGGAAGTGCCTACAAACCCAAAAGAACCTCAGTACTTACTTCCAGCTGGAGGAAGAGTTCTGTAAGAGAGAAAAAGAGCAATTAGACTCGCTAGGCTGTGTCACCTTTCTAGACAATGATGCTAGCATTCATTTAGAAGCAGTAATTGCTTTCTGAAAGCACGTTACTCGGAGCAAATGTTTCATCAGTAAAGTGTTGATATACATGAAAGAAAAGGCTGCACGAAGTACTTGTGTCTAGTTAAAATCTGGCCCTGAACAGATCAGTTCTGGCAATTCTGCCTGAGGGCAAAAAACACCCTCCCCAAAAAAAGCAGGAACGAAACCACCCTGGCAAAATAACTCAGTCTACACCCTCCAACAGTCCCCTAAATGGCAGGAGGAGTCAAGAAGAAACTGCAATTGCTCCAGGCGCCGAGTTGCTGTTTTTATTTTTATATTTTATTTTTTTTAAGTTGGAGTCTCACTCTGTCGCCCAGACTGGAGTGCAGTGGCCACTCCCGGCCACCACAGCCTCGACCTGCTGGGCTCCACTGAATTAAGTGGATCCTTCCGCCTCAGCCTTCCAAGTAGCCAGAATTACAGGCACGCGCTACCACGCCCGGCTGATTTTTTGATTTATTGTAGAGATGAGGTCTCGTCAAGTTGCTCAGATGGGTCACGAACCCCCAGGCTCAGGCAATCCACCCACCTCAGCCTCCCAAAGGGGCGGGATTACAGGCTGAGCCACCAAGCCCGGCTGAGCTGCTGTTTTTAAAGCACTGTGTGAAGGGCTCTGTGTGGTAAGGAAGGGACACTCCCAGAGAATACAGAGGACAGAGGCTTTGGTCCTTCTGGGCTTTACTGTCACGCCACCAAGCCCTGCTCTCTCTGATCACGTCCCCAAGTTTCCAACGAAATGCAGCCCCTTCCCCAAAGCCTTTTCTGATGACTCATCACTCATCAAGCCCCTTTCAGACATGCCTTAAAGTATCTGCCCAACAGTACTCAACACCTATGGAGTGCCAGGTGATAATAACTGTTCACCTAGCAGCTCCCCCAACCACTAAATATATGAGAGTACAATCCCCTCTACAAATCCAGTACTTGAAGCAGAATAGGTCCACGGCTTCTGCTCTTTTTGGGTAGCAGTGAGTCTACTGCACACGGTCCACAAAATTCTGTGGGGTGCTGCCCAGTCTACCGTAAGCCCCTTTGCAAACCCAATAAATAAATCCCATGAACTCATTCCCCAGAAAAAAGCGCATACACACATCTACACATACCCCATGGGATTCTGACAGTTCCAGGAACCCCAGATTAGGAGCCCGGGCGTCAATTAACAGTTGCTGCAAGAGAAATTACTGAGGAGAACAAGCCACTCATTATTTTCTAACCCCATTATTTTCTAACCCCAGAAGCCCTACCCACTTTGGCACTGAACATCACTGGGCACAGGAACCCAGGCACACCCAGCCCAACACTATCACTCCTATGATTGCTTTAGACAAGTACGATGCACCAATGGCCCAAGAACTGAAGTTCTGTGCCATTCTGAGAAATCACGTCTTGCGTAATAAGTCAAAATGACGACTGGTACTTAGGGGAGGAAGTTGTTTCAGTTACAGCAGTCAGACACCAGACACAACTAAAGCAGGTGGACCATCCATGCACAGAAAGTGCTTTTTAAAGCTCAAGTCATGACTGATTTAGGCGGTCTTCTGCATTTTTACCTGAGTAAAAGAAATGTTTATGAAAGAACATATGAGGACAGGATTGAGTATGCAAGTCAAATGAAGAAAAACAACTCAATACTCACCTGCTGTTCCAACTAAAGAAAATGGATCACATCAATTTTCTTTCCTAGTCAGACTCAGTGGCTCAGCCTGTAATCTCGCGCCTTTGGGAGGCTGAGGTGAGTGGATTGCCTGAGCCCGCGGGTTCAAGACCCCCCTGGACAGGCGAGACCTCATCTCTACAATAAATCAAAAAATCAGCCGGGCGTGGTAGTGTGCACCTGTAGTTCCAGCTACTTGGCAAGCTGAGGCGGAAGGATCGCCAGAGCCCAGCAGGTCGAGGCTGCGGTGGCCGGGAGCGGCCACTGCACTCTAGTCTGGGCGACAGAGTGAGACGCCAACTCAAAAAAAAAAAAAATTTTCTTTCCTTACTTACATCTCACACCCATTCTACAAGGTATTAATATTCCCCTCTACGGATAGGGAAACTGACGCTTTAAAAGCAAATGCCATGATTAAAGGCACAGATCTAAAGCAATGGAGGGAGGATCTGAACTGAGGACCATCTCCTTCCACAATGCCACCTCTTTTACCTACTAAAGGGGAAGTCCAGGAAGATAGCTGAAGATTTATTTATTGTTTTTTTGAGTTGGAGTCTCACTCTGTCACCCAGACTGGAGTGTAGTGACCGCTCCCGGCCACCACAGCCTCGACATGCTGGGCTCCGGCAATCCTTCCGCCTCAGCGTTCCAAGTAGCTGGAACTACAGGCACGCGCTACCACGCCCAGCTCATTTTGATTTATTGTAGAGATGAGGTCTCATTTTGACTTGTTGATTACGGGCTGAGCCACCAAGCCCGGCTGATAGCTGAAGATTTTAACGACATCCCAAGGAGGTCTCCAAAACTCTCTCCCCAGTGGAATATCTTGGATACACTTTGGAGAACAGCTTTTGGGGCCATGTTACATCAATGATTAACAAATAGTAGAAAATTTGAAGATGATAATTGCAAGTTTAGAAGAGCCTTACCTGCATTTCGTATCCTCTCTTTGTACTGCTGATCTAGTTTTTTCATTCTCTTCTGATATTCCTGTAACGTACCTGATTTTGAGCATTTAAAAAATAAAATTACTTTGATGATCCAACTGCTCTACATTTTGCTTCCTTAAATTATTCTCTACCACCAACAGTGACTGTTTTAGTAACACCAGAGTAAAACACAAACCAAGGAAAGCTGTGCCTCAGCTGAGTTAGCTGGACTCTGATTCTCAGCCAAAGCACACAGCAAAAGCCACCGGAAGCCTATCTGGAGTACACCCCAATACAGTGGATCAAGACTCTGGTATGTAAGGGGGAGTAGAAAGGTGAAGACACTGCCCTGTGGTTCTCATCACTTGCTACAACAGTCTGAGTCAATGGGCCTCCCTTTCTTGGAAACACTTCATTCTCCTTCAGGTCAATACTGTCGACAGAACTTTCTGCAGTGACAGAAATGTTTTATGTTTACAGTGTCCAATACAGTAGCCGCTAGCCAATTGTGACTATCTTAGGACTTGAAATAAGCCTAGTGCAACTGAGGAATGGAATTATTAATTTTGATTTCAATAGCCACCTGTGGCTACTGACAACACTAGACAGCTCAGGTACAGAGTCTAACCAAATCTCTACTCATTTCAATGCTCTTTTCGCAAAGCATCTGATTACGAAGGGCCCAGCTTGTGGGGGGAAGTGTTTCCTGATCATAATTCCTTGGCTAGTCCAAGGGAGTAATCACGCCCTAGCAATAAAAGTATCTAATGAAAAAGCAGTTTCATTGATGAGGGTCTCCACAACAGGCAGCCAAAGAGCCCCTGGCAGCACCTAACTGTTCCCAAGTACTCATGGTGTGCCCAACACTATGCTAGACAATCCTCATACATGGGCCCATCTACTCTCACTTTCTTCATTTTGCAGATCAGGAAACAGATTAAGCAGGAGAAAGTGGCATACCCAAGGTGATATCACTAGAAATAGTGAAACTGAGATACAGAGCCCTCATGGACTCCAGGGCCTGTACTCTTAACCCCACACTACACCACCTTAAGCAACCAGTGGCATTTGACAAGATACAACCCACATTTAATTTACCAATCAAAAAAAGAGAAAACACAGTATGTAGAATACATAGTTCATTAACATTTGGTTTAGAAATAATACTAAAACTTTATTCTTTGATAACAATGTCTCTCCTAAAAATACCTAGCTTTAGGCACAGTGGTTTTATATATATATATATTTTTTGAGTTGGAGTCTCACTATGTAGCCCAGGCTGGAGTGCAGTGGCATGTTCACAGTCACCGCAGCCTCGACCTGCTGGACTCAGGCAATCCTTCCTCCTCAGTCTTCCAAGTAGTTGGAACTACAGGCGCGAGCCATCATGCCCGGCTAATTTTTTCATTTATAATTGAGACGAGGTCTCACCAAGTTTCCCAGGTTGGTCTTGAACCCCTGGTCTCAGGCAATCCTCTCACCTCGGCCTCCCAAAGTGCTGGGATTACAGGCTTGAGCCATCATGCCTGGCTACATAGTGATTTTCAACATATGCGCCACAGAAAGCCTCAAATAGATTTCATCTGAAGAAATAAGTTGATACATATTAGAAATAAATTAATAAAAAAAATAAAAGAGTTAGAAACCACAGCCAGACACAGTGGCTCATGCCTGTAATCCCAGCACCTTGGGAGGTGGAGAAGAGGATTGTCTAAGTTCAGGAGTTTGAAACCAGCCTGGGCAACTTGGCGAGACCTCGTCTCCACAATAAATAAATTTTTTAAAAAATTAGGCCGGGCTCTGTGGCTCAGCCTGTAATCCCAGCACTTTGGGAGGCCGAGGCAAGTGGATTGCCGGAGCCTGTGGGTTCAAGACTCACCTGGGCAACTCAGCAAGACCTCATCTCTACAATAAATGAAAAATTAGCCGGGCGTGGTAGCACACACCTGTAGTTCCAGCTACTTGGAAGGCTGAGGCGGAGGGATCACTGGAGCCCAGCAGGTCGAGGCTGTGGTGGCCGGGAGCGTGCCACTGCATTCCAGTCTGGGCGACAGAGTGAGACTCCAACTCAAAAAACAAAAACAAAAAAAATTAGCTGGGTGTGGTGGCACACACCTGTAGTTCCAGCTACTTGGAAGGCTGAGGTGAAAGGACTGCCTGAGCCCAGCAGATTGAGGCTGCAGTGGCTATGAGCATGCCACTGCACTCCAGCCTGGATGACAGTCTGAGTGAGACTCAGACTCAAAAGAAAAAGAGAAAACCAGTACTTTACTGACAGCAAAAGATAGTAAAATGTATACTGGATAGGTAAAATCAGCCAGACCAAATTTTAAATCACTTCCACACAGAAGTAAAAATGCACAGATTTCAAGGGTTTGTAATATTAAGATGTATACTAAGAGGACAAAAAACTCTGGAATTATCTTTTGAAGGGTGAGTCCTTTGTAGTACAGGCATCCCCCACCAGATGAGTATTCTAGGAACCCACTGGCACCAGTGTAGCAGTTAGTGTTGTTGTGAAAGGTTGAGTTCAGCTTCAGTGAAATTTTTTCTGAGATTCTTCCAATGCGTTTGCCCATTTCAAGATAGGCGATTTACAAGTGCACCTGCTCACACCACGCTGAGTGTTCAGCAGTTTTTGACCAAAAACAGAGGACCCCCGTGCCCCACCCTCACTATTCGTCCTATCTCATCCTGAGCAACTTTTATTTGTTTCCCTGGATGAAAAAAGTCCTCAAAAGGAAACCTTTTGCTGATGTTGAAGAGTTAAAACAAAAAATAGCAGAAGCACTCAGAGGCATCAAAACTGGTAAGTTCAAAAACTATTTTGAGGAGTGAAAAAGCATCTCAACAGGTGCACTGCATCAGACAGAGAATACTTGGAAGGTGACTGAAGTTTTAAATACATAAGAATATACAATTTTTCATAAATAAATTGAGGTTTTTGGGGTCCCCTTGTATTTAGAAATGAAGGATTCAATCGCACACCCACCTTCCTGTAGTTGTTGCAATTGCCTCTTGAGAGAAGCCAGTTTGTCCTGATACATCCTGTTAAAAAAAAACAACAACAACAACACACACACACTGAAAGATAAAAACATTCAAAACCCAACTCCAAAATAACCTGCCCACAGAAATTACCTGGGTTGTTATGGGAATGCCATTCATGTCCTTCAGGGGAGAAAGGAAACTAAAGTCTGCTTGCTGGTTTAAAATGTACCAGCAGATACAGGGATCAGAAAGGGACAAGGACTGTGTTCCTAAATCACACCCTAATTCTGTAAATTCTTCTGTATTAACTCTGCAACTGTCTAAACTCTGCAACTACAAAGACAGCAGATCTTAATAAGTAACAGTGATAAACAAACAAGAATATACAACAATTGAAAGTATGATGCCATTTTCTCCTGTACTTAGAAACATAATCAATACACACACAAATGTAGAAATGGCATGAAACACAACTCCTGTATCAACACTACGATTAGATTATAAATTCCAAAGGAGCAAGACTATGCCTTTGGCATGTTTTTCTATCTAGACAGCTTAGTTTTATAAGCACTAAGTCAATAAACACTTATGTCATTTTTTTAAGCACTACTCTTTTAGGATCAGAGAAATAATAGTAATTCAGAAACAAAAGTTAAAATGCAGCATTTATTTGCAGCCCCAGTTAGAAGAGAAGACACAGCAAACACAAAGCACGAGGACTCGGCATGCGATTTTCTTCCTCTCACGTCTAATGGATTATAGACAACTATATACTCCAGCAAGTCTGTTTAAAGGTGGAGTCCATATGTTAATTGCATTTTAGTAATATCTGTGCTTTACCTAAAAAACACTCCCAATTTCACAGTGACAACACGATTTGCAACCTGAAAGTACACTGTCTAACACATAGCTGGACCAATAACCTTTTGGTATATGTGCTGCCCAAAGAAGTACAAAGGCACAAGAAACTTGATGGCTCAGATAAGAGCTGCAAACATAACCTGACTCTCTATAGGTGGAGGAAATAACAGGCAGAATCTGAGACTCACCCAGGTCTGACTCTGTTAGGGTGAATTCTGATATACTCTCAACATGCACCTTGAATCCCACGAGGCATTCAATTTTAATCAAATCATTTTCTGTATCATCAAATACTACTAAGGAGGCATACTCAACTAAAAGATCAAATGGGCTGGGTGCAGTGACTCATGCCTATAATCCCAGCACTTTGGAAGGCCACAGCAAGAGGACTGCGTGAGCCTAGGAGTTCAAGACCAACCTGAGCCACACAGCAAAAGCTTGTTTCTTAAAAGAAAAAAAAAATTAGCCAGGCATGATGGTGCTCGCCTATAGTCCCAGCTAGGGAGGCTGAGGCAGAAGGATCACCTGAGCTTAGAAGGTCGAGATTGCAGTGAGCTGTGATTGAGCCATTGTACTCCAGCCTGGGTGACAGTGAGACCCCAACTCAAAAAAAATCATATCAAAGAAATGATAACATATCATATACAGGAGAGGGAATGGATAAGTAACCATGCACAAGAAGTATTTGGAAGTCAAGATGTTAACTACTCCACCACACTGAGGATGCCAGGCAATATCTTTGAATTCAAAGTTTATCTTTGAAAGGAAATACTGACAGACTGACGGAGACAAAGAACAAAATCAGATTCACGGAGAGCACATATGAGGAAGAGAAGAATTACGTGAAAATACATCTCAAATGGGTCAAGGTAAATCAATTCAAGTTTTTTGCTTGAAAAGACTAAAAAGCAACCAGGAGTAGTGACTCATGCCTATAATCCCAGCATTTTGGGAGGCCAAGGTGAGAGGATTGCCTGAGCTCACGGGTTCATGACCAGCCCAGGCAACTTGGCGAGACCTCACCTCTACAGCAAATCAAAAAATGAGCCAGATGTTGTGGTGTATGCCTGTAGTTCTAGCTACTTGGAAGGCTGAGGCGGAAGGATTGCCTGACCCCGGCAAATAGAGGCTGCAGTGGCAATGAGCGTGCCATTGCACTCCAGCCTGGGCGACAGAGTGAGACTCGAACTCAAAAAAAAAAAAAAAAGAGAAAATAAAAAGCAAGCACAGCTTCAGAAATGAAACCGTGAGTAAGATCGTACACATTAATAACATAATTCTCCTTTATTCAGCACTGGTCAGACTTCTCTGAATTACCCCTTTGGATTCCAAAACATGAACAGGATGACAGAGTCCAGAGGATGGCTGCAAATCAACTGCAAACGGGACCTCAAAGAAAAGGAATGGGATCACCTAGTTTATTTATTTTTTGAGTTGGAGTCTCACTCTGTCACCCAGATTGACATGCAGTGGCATGTTGCCAGCCACCACAGCCTCTACTTGCTGGGCTCAGGTGATCCTTCCACCTCAGCCTTCCAAGTAGTTGGAACTACAGGCACATGCTACCATGCCCAGCTAATTTTTGATTTGTTGTAGAGACAAGGTCCCGACAAGTTGCCTGGGTGGGTCTTGAACCCGTGGGCTCCAGCAATCCACTCGTCTCGGCCCCCCAAAGTGCTGGGATTACAGGTTGACCCACCAAGCCCAGCTGGGATCACCTAGTTTAAAGGTAAAGAATTTTAGAAGTCTAATCAAGATCCTCAAAATACATTGGACAAATATACATAAAATGCATTTTCTACTACTTTCCCTGGGTATATGCCAAAAGTGAGTGGGGTTTGCATTTCTTTGGACATGGTCGCTGTGGCTCTCTCGGAAGGCAACGAGGTTTGGGTGAGGACATGTACAAACATGGACAGAGCACTGAGCCAAGAGTCGGGAGCACTGCCTCCAACCCAGCTGCTCTGAGCTCTGAGGTACCTAGCACAGTGTCTAGCATGTCAATGCTCAGAGAGTTCATTCCATCTAAGAACCCAGTTGCTTCAAGACACCATTCACCCTCTCTGTGCATTGGTTTTCATACCTTTAAAAAATGAAGACTGGTAAAAGGCTCTCTCCTGTTTTATGGCCTTCTCCCTCCCCTGTGGTCATTTTCCTCAAGGTTCTTTCTAGCCTAACCTCAAAAGAGTCACAACAAGAAGAATGATTAAATGTGACTAAATTAAAGTGAAAAATTACACACCTATACATGGTCTTGGAAGCACTATGGTCAAAACCATACACACAAGGTCAGTACAAGTTCACTATCCCTTATTGGAAATGCATGGGACCAAAAGTATTTCAGACATTTTCAGATTTTGGAATATTTGCAAATTACTTGCAAAATATACTTATATTTTCAAAACACACCAGTTGAGCATCCCAAATCCAAAAATCCAAAATGTTCCAATGAGTACTTCTTTTGAGCATCATGCTAGCCTTCAAAGTTTTGGATTCTATAGCATTTCAGATTTCAGATTTGGTATGCTCAATCTATATAAAGAGTTTGTTGTCAATTCTATGTTCCAGAAAAGAAATACAAAAATCACACTCACTGTTCTTTCATTTCTACGTAATCTTCTTCATCATGCTTTGCCAGGTCAGTCTCACTAGCATCCTCAGTGTCTGAGTAAAATTAGAGAAGAGGGTTAGTTAAAATCATAATGTGAGCCAGGCGCAGTGGTTCACGCCTGTAATCCCAGCACTTTGGGAGGCAGAGGAGAGAGGGCTGCCTGAGCCCAGGAGTCTGATACCAGCCTGGGCAACTTGGTGAGACCTCGTCTCTACAATAAATCAAAAATTAGCCGGGCATGGTGGTGTGTACTGTAGTTCCAGCTACTTGGAAGGCTAAGGACAAAGGATCGCCTGAGCCCAGCAGGTTGAGACTGCGGTGGCGGTGAGCATGCCACTGCACTCCAGCCTGGGTGACAGAGTGAGACTTCAACTCAAAAAAGAAAATCGTAATGTGGGTCCTGGAATCAATCTCCCATGGACACTGAAGGATGACTGTACTTCAGAAAAGAAGATGCCCTTTCCCATTTATACACAGTCAGATTTATGCAAAGAGCTTGCCTTTATCTGAAGCACAGCCACAGAACAGGGTGCATCAGGCACAGGGGATCATGGTCAAGGCTGCTACTTCTGTAGGAGCAATAATGCTGGCAGTTCAGGAAGGAAGGCACAAGATGACACCACAAAAAGTCAAGCCCTACAGCTCATAAAAAAAACCTAGTATGTACATTTCTCCTAGTAGACGCACAGTTTGAACATGTCACACACTTTATATCAAATACACAGTTGTCCCTCTGTGTCTGTGGATGACTGGTTCCAGGACCTCCTACAGATACCAGAATCCTGGGACATTCAAGTCTTTAATAGAAAATGGAATAGTAGGCCGGGCTCAGTAGCTCAGCCTGTAATCCCAGCACTTTGGGAGGCCAAGGAAAGTGGACTGCCTGAGCCCACAGGTTCGAGACCAGCCCGGGCAACTTGGCGCAATCTCGTCTCTACAATAAATAAAAAATTAGCTGGGTGTGGTAGCGTGAACCTGCAGTCCCGGCTACTCGGAAGGCTGTGGTGGAAAGAAGGCCGGAGCCTAGCAGGTCAACGCTGGGGTGGCCGTGAGTGTGCCACTGTACTCCAGTCTGAGCAACGGAGTGAGACTTCAACTCAAAAAAAAAGAAAGAAAATGGAACAGTACTTGCATATAACCTATTCACATCCTTCCATATACTTCAAATCATCTCTAGATTACGGGCAATACTCAACACAACATAAATGCTATGTAATCAGCTGTTGAACTGTATTTTTTAGGGAATAATGACAAGAAAAGACTGTACACATTCAGTACAGACAAAATTTTCCCAAATATTTTCAATCTGAGGTTGGTTGTATCCATGGATGTTGAACCCACAGATATGAAAAGCCAACTGTATATAATAACCAAGGTGAAAATAACACTAATTAACTGAAATGTTTTCAAAGTTACAGCTAAAGAGAACAAGAAGGAGGCAAGATGAGCAAACAAAAACTGTTTCAAAATATTTTAAACATTGTTCTCAGAACAAGCAAATGGCTGAAGTGTCCCCATAATTTCAACAGCTCCTACACTGCAAGGGAGGGAAAAAAAAAACAATTTTGATTTCACTGCTCCCCCTCGTGGGCATTAAAAGCAGTGCAAGAGGTTCACATTCAATGGCTCTGGTTAACGTACTCAACCCAAATGCAATTAGTTCTTCAACTTTATGTTCTGCACGTGCAGCGGCCTTTTGAAAAGTCTGCTGCAGATCCAATTCCCCACAGACCGTTCTCCCCTCCTTCGGTCAAGTGGTCTTCACGGAGTTCCTGTCTTGTACCAACCAGCCACATCACTCAGCACAAAGGAGACTGAGATGAACAAAACATACCCCTCACTCCAAACAGCTGGGCTAGCTTTTGCTCCACGGCCCTCCTTCGTGCCAGAACACCCCACCCACATATCAGACTCTCTTGATCCCCTCTTCCTTCTCCCTTGACCTTTCCTATGTCTTCACCTTTCTCCTCTCGGTCCCTCCAAGACGAGGCCCCTCACGCTTGCCAAACTGCAAAGCCAAGTTTGAAAAAGCAAGGACCTCCCTTGGCAACGATGATCATGTCGAGAACATGAACCTGAAAATAAAGCACCTGGGCACCAGGAGGCAAATCTTCCTCATGCCTACCTCCCACAGTGCCTATTTCCCCGGGGGTGAGTATCAAGTCAAGCACTTGATGCACACGTCTTGCTTAACCCCCACACCCGCCCTAGAAAGTAGGCACTACTAATGGTCCTACTACCGTAGAGGCCGAAAACCTTAAACTGCCCAGACAGAGATCGCAAAGCTGAGTTAAGTGACACAGCCAAACTTAAACCTACAGCTGGCTGACTCCAGGGCTCGTTCTTCTAACCAACCTGCATCCTCGATCCTGCACCGCACCACTCACAGTGGAGCTGGCTCGAGCCTTTCGCGGGGAGGGGAGGAACTGGGACTGAGAGCCTCTCGGGGACACAAAAGGGAGTAAGTACTAAACTCGGCGTACTCCACGGACGACTTTTCCACTCCAACCAGTGACGACCTGAGGGTCAACCCGAGACGGCTGGCTGGCGGAGAGGACAGAGTCTTCCAGGGACCTCCAGCTCTGGCAGCATCTAAGTCCCTTCTCCCCATCACGGCAAGGGGC